TTCTTGAATCGCTCCCAATATGTATGAAAAGCTTCTCTTTTATGTTGCTTGATTCCAATGATTTCCCTCTGTAGGGCTGAAGCTTTCATCTCGGGAAAGTACTTATCCAAAAATAACCTCACGAGATCTACCCAAGTAGTAACCGTCCCCGGTGGGAGGTCATAGAGCCAATCTTTTGCTGCATCTTGCACCGCAAAGGGGAATGCCCTAAGCTTGATTTGGTCCTCCGTGACATTTTGTGGTTTCATGCCAACACACACAACATGGAACTCTATGAGAAACTTGTGGGGATCCTCGTTTTCTAAGCCTCTAAAGGTTGGGAGGAAGTGGATAAGTCCGGATTTTAGTTCAAGGTTTGTGGCTGCCGGATAGGTGATGCAAAGAGGTTGTTGTGTAACCTCTTGTCTCGACCATTGACGAAGGGTTTGTTCGGGTGGTGGGTTTGGAGGTGGATTTCCTCCGTGGTTATCCCCCATGGCGTGAGAAAGTAGTTGAAGTTTCTGTGGGTGTAGTGTTTGGGATATTATGAACAGGTGAAGAGGGTGGAGTGGTATTTTTGGGTGAGGATGGTTGTGGCGAGAGTGAGAGACTTTCTGTTTCGGATGCAGATACACTTGAGAGGGGTATGTCCTCCCAAATGTTAATGACTGTAGGGTTAGATGATGAAGAAGTCCCGGAGCCCGGTTGCTTCTTACGAAGCTTGGCTTGCTTCCTTAACCTTTTTACAGTCTTCTCTATCTCCGAGTCAATTGGCAATGGCGTACCTATTCGAAAAGATCTTGGCATAAAACAACTAGTAACACCGTGTCCCCGACAACGGCGCCAATTTGTTAGGCGTGTTAGACCCAACAAATAAAGGGGTACGATATACTCCAAAAGAATCCTACTATATTGCACTAAAAGGTAGTACAAGGCAAGCAGGGTCGATCCACAGAGACACGGGATAATTAGTCTATACCTCTTTGCGCAAGGTACTATGGTCACCAACAGTAAAGAGGGGGGTTTAGAATGAAATAATTAAAACAAACAATTAAAAACACAAGTAATCAACTAAAAGAGTGAATTAAATTCAGAAATGGTAAGGACTCCAACCTCATGTATGACAACTTAGCAATGTGATTCCAAGATAACATGATATTTGCTCAATTCTATCTAAGTTGGTACTTGAAAGTGTTAACAAGCTCTAACACTTCCCATTCACCACATTAATTAACCAAAACAAGCTCTTTGATTAACCCTAACCTAATCTAAACACGCTCTTAGAATTAGATTGAAAGATTGCATTAAACTTTATGTGAATGTTCCCAACAACACCCAATACTCCTCACAAGCTCGGGAGCGTAAGAGTGTGTGAATAAGATTTACACTAAATTCATTCAATGGAAATCAGTTTAGTTCTTGTTACTTGTTCAATTTCACAAAACAATTACGGATTTTGTAAAAGAGATAACTTGAATGACCTAACCCTAATTCAAATGGCCAATAAGAATAACAATTAGAATCAAACATTCGATTAAATCAAAATCAAATTCACTAGATAGAAATTAAAAGCAAACATCAAGTCATATGATTGAAATCACAACTAAGAAGTCAAGACATGAAGTTGGAGAAACTAGGGTTCTAGCCACACATGGCTAGAACAAGATCACAAGAATAAAAGATGGAAATAATGTGCAATTACAACTTACAAATAAGAGAAATAATGTTTCCAAATGATAAATGATCAAATCCTTGAAAAAACCTTCGAAATCCCCTCTCAAAATGTGCTCTGATATGTTGTGTGTATCTCAAAATGGCCCTCAACCCGTAATATGAAAGATAGGAAAAACTGACAAAAGTTGGTTTTTGGGTCGAACACGGCCCGTGTTAAAATAGGCTAAACTGACACGGCCCGTGTTCAGCAGCCAACACGGCCCGTGTTGATTTGCACTAAACTGACACGGCCCATGTTCAACATGGTCAACAGCTCCCATTTTGGTCAACACGGCCCGTGTTGATTTTGCAGTGTAAATCCAACACGGCCCGTGTACCCCTCTGACTCCGAATCCAAACTTGATTTTTTCAACTTTTTCGTTCTTCGCCCGATCATCCCGAAATCTTCACCAATGCTTCCCGGGACCTCCCAAAGCGCATTCCAAGCTCCGGTTTACCTGAAAAAGACATGAACGTGTGCAAATAAGGTTGTTCTAGAGACTAACGTGAATATGATGAAATGCAAAAAAAAGGAAGAACAATTATGCTAAATAGATGCATGAAATGGGACTAAAAGGTGTGCAAAAAGGTGCACAAATTGCACCTAACACCTTGACTTCCCTCTAGCTAGATCTCTCCATGCTTAAGTTTAGGGCCATTTTAGCATACATGTGAACCATTTCGAGTATTGGTCATGATATGAAGTTGTAACTTCAGATCTGGACTTCTCTAAGTCCCTATAACCATAAAGTTATCAGATTTAGCAAGCTTGGACCCTTCTCTTTGAGTTAAACCTTTCCTTTAACTTGATTTTGGCATCTAGGACCATGCATGCACGTAAAGTTTGCAACTTTACGTGGAATCCATGCCCTAGGAGGTTAGATCTGCATTTTGGAGCTTTAGGGTAGCTTAAAAACATCTGAATGAGAATGTACTAAAGGGACTCGACGAGTTGCAGGGTCAACTCGACGATTCCGATGAAGATTAGCCGCTGTTGGTTTCTGCGTGGACTCGGCGACTCAGTGAGACGACTCGACGAGTCAGTTAGGGATTTCCCGACTTTTGGACACGCATGGACTCGACGAGTTATCTGGAAACTCAGCGAGTCAACTGGGATTTTCATGATTTCTCGAGTCTGGAAGGACTCGACGAGTCAGTGAACTGCACTCGACGAGTTGGGTCAACATGGACTGTTGACCTTGACCGTTGACTTAATTTTGACCAAGGGATTAACCAGTTGTCTTCTGGGGGTATTTTGGTAATTTGGGAATTTATGGAAGTAGATCATTGATGAATATAGGTTGTGGAGTTCGTGGCTGAGATTCGAGAGCTTGATTTTATCACTACAGTTCGACATTTGTGAGGTGAGTTCTTCTCGCTATATCAACAGGGTCTAAGGCACCAATGTCGGCCCTTTTCGGATTTGTATACGGGTTATTGCATGATATGCTTATTGATTTACATCCTGGTAGTTAGGATGGTGATATGCTTAGTGACCTGGTTAGGTCGGTATCCTGGTATATAGGATAATGCTATGTTAGTGACCGGTTAGGTCTATATCCTGGTTATAGGATGTTAGATCGGTTTGACTATTATATATGCTAGCGTATGATATTTATGTCTACATGATTGTTTGATTGGGGTTGGGTTGAGTCGGTCCTGCTTTGTGTTGAAGGCCAACATACCCAGGGCAGTCCGGATAGACTAAAGGCCCTGCGAGGCGGTCCAGTCAGGCCGAAGGCCCGGCGAGCGGTCCGGATAGGCTGTAGGCCTTGCGAGGCGGTCCAGACATGTCGAAGGCTCGGGAGCAGTCCAGATAGGCTGAAGGCCCTGCGAGGCGGTCCAGTCAGGCTGAAGTCTCATTATGCATGTTGTTTGTTTATATGATATGATTATGATTGTATGACGTTGGTATTTTGGGGGAACTCACTAAGCTTCGGGCTTATAGTTGTTGATTTTGTTTCAGGTACTTCTGACGATCGCGGGAAGGCGAAGGCGTGATCGTACACCTCCTTATGTATTCATGATTTGATTCTGGGGTACTCTGACATTATACTATTTTGAAAACAAGTTTTGTAATCATCATTGGTTTGAAATGTTTTAAAAAGTTTAAATTTGGCATGATTTTTATGGATGCTACAGAACATATAGGGCATAATTACATTTGTTCTATTGTGCTTTTGTGTATGCTTTATAGCTTAATAAGGTCAACATGTCCACAATGTTAATTCGTTGTTACACCTTTTTAAGGTAAAAACTTCATATTGTACTTTTGATGTTTCTCTAAATGCAATGTCAACATTGGATTATACAAAGCCCCACTTTGCAAAACGACTTTTAAGTATCTTCAATTTATATGTATATCAAATCTTTCAGGTTTTATGAGTGTGTGATTTATAATATGCATATTGTTTATTGAATGTTGTTGATGTACCTCGATGCTGAAAACATGGATGATTTATTCAAATGTGGAAAATTTTGTGCCAATTTAAAGCATTCCAAGAGGCTCAACTCTGGTGTAATGGTAATGGAACATCCAGAAGAGGTTTTTAAAATACATGGTTAGCAAAGTGACAACATTGTATTCTTATATTGGAGGTGCGTTATTCCTTTTATGTTTTTATAGAATAAAAGATTATCATACATAAATTCCCTTTCCCTTTTCTCTAATGATGTGTTCTTCTTGTTTTTTCTAGGCGACCACGGTTTTCTCAACACCTATAATGCAAATGTTGGACTTTATATACTTGCTAACAAGGTAGGTAGTGTTTTGTGTGTGTGTGTGTGTGTGTGTGTGTGTGTGTGTGTGTGTGTGTGTGTATATATATATATATATATATATATATATATATATATATATATATATATATAATATATAATATATATATATATGATACAAAAGGTATTTGAAAAAATGAATAAATGAGGGTGTATTTGTAATAGGTGAATATTTGATGGGAAAAACTTCCTTTTCTCGTCGGTTGTTCATTGTTCTGCATTAAGTTATAATGATACAATCATATAGAGCATACAGACTAAAGTTGTTAAGCACTTAGTCTTGGTTGTTTCTTATTGACCAAATCTGGACATAATGACTTAATGAGTTAAGCCGAAAAACCATGGTACTGGTGGACATCTTCACTCACATTGTTTCTGATTACTTCATTTTGTCTGAGTTTCAAACTTTGGTGTGTGTGTGTTTAGGTACAATACAAAAATAAAAATGTTTTAAGGATTTAAATACTTTTATAGGCATTATAACAAAAATATAAAAACATAAATGAATATATTTAAGTATTTCATATAAAGGTTGTACATTAAAATGATTCAAGAATCCATCTGTTTATACAAAAACGTACATAAAATAACAAGTACAATTAAAACTAAACCTAATAGTAACAAACGTAATGATTACTGGTGAACACAATCTATATCCATTTTCCTCACTCTAGTAACCAAGCTTATACGTATTTTTACAAATATAAAGTTTTTTCTTTTTAAAAATCAAAGCAAAAAACAAGATAAGTGTACATGTGTTCGTGTATATGTTGTTCTTAAATGTCATGACATGTTGGTGTCCATACCCATGTCATCTTTCTAATTCTTTTTTGCAAAGGGGACAACATGATACTATTTTGAGCCATTGATCCACACATTTCATATGAAATTTATGTGAGCATCCCAATTGTCTCATTTCTTCATTTTCCTTGTATTTTGCTAAACATATACAACATTCCTGTAAATATATAGATATTTTGTTAGTGTTACATATATTAAAGTGTACCGTCAAATGTCGATGTCATGTAATAATTAAACTTACTGTGGTTGAGCTATCCACAATTGATTTCCCTTGTTCCAAATCGGGTTCTATAATATGTTTGTATTTCCAACTAGGCAACTTCAATATCTGTTCTTCAGATGCACCACGATTGATTGATCCGGCATTCATGTTGTATCCAAGTAGGTTGCTAATAATTGGCACAAAACAACATAGAAACAAGAATAATATAAAAGGGAATGAATAGGTAATGGCGTTCCAAGCTAGTAGTGAGATACAAAGCACATCCAGTTTAGGAGCTTTCCTAAAGGTCCCAAATCGAGCATCGAAAACCCAAACGTTCCCCATCACAAACCATATTGCAAAGAATAGTTCCATAAATGTTCGAGATTTGTTCATCATTTGCAAGTTCCTGTATATTATTATAATAAAACAAAATTAACTTCATTTTTTATAATTTATTTGTATGGTTGTACATGCTTATTAGATATTTTGTTTATTTTTTATAATATACATGTATGTAGTTCTATTTATGTAACTAATCAACATGTATAATTCTTAAAATTTACATTTGATATATATGATACATGATTTAAACTTTTTATTAATAGTTAAGTGCTAGAGTTAATTTCTTATTGAAAACAAAAAGAATTATGACCTAAGATTGAGTATTGTAAAAATCAAATGATAGGAAAACACCATTTATTATATGCTAATGACAAACTACTATATTAACTTTGGATATTTTCAAACCTTCATACATTTTCAATAAATACGGAAAAAAAAAGTTTCATTTAAATAAAAACCCAAGAAAAGTACAAACTATTATTAATGTTTTATTAAAAAATCCTTATTATTATAGAGACAATATTGAAAAACCCTCACGATTAGAAACATATTATTGAAAAACCTCATATATTAAATGTTTTAATAAGGACTAAAATAATTAAAAAAATCATATATATATATATATATATATATATATATATATATATATATATATAATATGTGTGTGTGTGTGTGTGTGTGGAAAGATCAATAGATAATATATAAACCTTTGAAAACCCTAAAACCTAAAAAATCAATAGAAATAGATAGGAAAAAAACACTTTGAGATATCTAATTTTTTTTGGACTTTATAAATTTTATATATATATATATATATATATATATATATATTATAATATATATATATATATATATAATTTCAATGAAACAAATTTTGAATTTTTTTTTTAAGAAAAATAAAAAATAAAAAAATCATTTTTTTTAATTTTTTTTCAGCAAAAATATACCTATATATACGAATTTTATATTTATAAAGTTAAAAAAAATATAGATATCTAAAAGTATATTGAAGATTAAACCTAAATTTTATTTTATTTTTCTAGAAAAAACTTTTTTTTCTCCATTTGGCCCTTTTAACAAGTTTAAGGTCTTTCCAGTTTTAACAATTTCTTTTTTCTGGAAAAATCATCCACTTTTATTTCCAAAAATACTCTCAACTATGTTTTTTTTTTTTTAAAAACCCTTACATTTGATAATTTTTTTGGTAAAAAAAGGTTAAGTTTTTTCCGAAAACAGTTGTTTAAACCGGAAGATTACCGGTAAATATAATATATTATGGCCAAATTAGAAACAAAATGCTAAAAAAAAAAAAAAAAAAAAAAAAAAAAAAAAAAAAAAAAAAAAAAAAAAAAACCAATATGGGCTTAACCATTTCACTAAAAGGAGGGATTTTATAGGCACAAAATTAATATAAAAGTTTGTCTATTATTCGCATATAGTAAATTGTGTATTTTGTAAATAAAAAAACGTTGTGTTTCTTAAATAACCCAATCGAAAGTATTGCATTTTTGTATGAACGAATAAGCTTTTTATTACCTAGATTCTTCAATGTTACTAGGAAGTTCTGCTCCAATTTGGTTCAAGCAAAAAAGCCAATATCGCCAAAATAATAGACCCAAATTAAGCACACAGCCGATTCCATACCCGGTAACCCATGTTCTCATGGGCCAAACCGCCTTCTCTTCTTTGGAAACCGAAAGAGTATACGCTATAACCATAATTTGGAAAACCAAACCCATCAATTCCATATACATCCAAGAAGCCGTATTAAACGGGTTCGACCCAGTATCTGATCTTGACCCGTTTTGGTAATGAAACACCCTTCTTGCAAAACTATACCACCTTGCCCTTGATATCCTAATTGCCATTCTTACCAAGAAAGAAGAAGGGATGGCAAAAGGAGCCCGAGTCGAGGTCATGCTTCGTGGGCCCATATTTTCTGTCATCCTCTCTTCTCCGGCTCCCGTTGATGGAATCAATGAAAATGTGAAAATGTTACTGCCACCGCAGAGTTGCATAATGATTCCGGTGTAAACAAGTACCGCGTATTCATTGCGAAAAAAGATAACTTTAAGCTTTTATATTAATATATACCTTCAAACTAACCTAAACCCATGAAGCTTTGCTTTCAAGAAACTTATAGAACAAGTTTTCTTGATTATATCCATGAGAATAAACAATTAGCTTGTAACCCAATGTACTTATGATCAACACTTCAAGTTACTGTGAGCATGCATGATTAGAACTTTTTTAATCCAAATTAAAGAAGCTAACATGGGGTTGGACCAAGAGTCCAAGAACAAGATATACGTATGATTAGAACTTCAAAAAAGTTCCGGCTTCAAGAAACCAATTTGGATAGGTATTAAACCTCAAGAAATCGAGATGGGCATGATTAGAACTTCAAGAATTGGATCATGTGGACATGAACCAAACATCAAGAAACTGATATGGTTGGGACAATAGCTTCAAGAAACCAATATGGAAAAGAACAAAACTGCAAGAAGTCGAAATGCGTACGCTTAATTAGAACTTTAGGAAATTGATATGGGTGGACTAGAACGTCAAGAAACCGATATGGTATCGGTATGATTGAAACCTCAAGAAATAGATTAGATATTCAAGAAAACGATAATATATATGTAGGCGGGATCAATTTTCTAAAAAGTCATTGTTTTGACCAAAAGAGGGATGAATCAAGCTATGATGACACTGGAATGGAAATAAAAGAAAGAAATATAGGGGAGGGAAAGAGAAGGTTGGAGATGGTGGCCAAGAAACACAACTGCTTTGCTTTGAATCAAAGGCAATGATATGAAAGAAAATAACAAGTAAGAGCAACGGTTGGCCTAACTTCGTTGCTGCTATGCTGTGTTTATTAAGCAAATTAAAGCTACTTCAAATGCAAACCACGGAATCTAATTCTTGGATTATAATTGAATTAGGGTATGGTTTAAGACATTCATTCTTTCAAATTAATTTTGATTTTTCAAGCAAAACTTTATGTTAGTCTCACTCATATTTGTATTGTGACATACCAAACCAACAAATACAAAGACCATGACTATGAATGCCTTTAGTAATTTTTTTTTTCAGATTTAAAATGTAAAATAATTAGTGAACAGCTAGCTGCCATAATAAACTTTAATACGGCTTAGTTGGATTTGTTTATAAGTAAGAAATTTTACAATAACCTAAGAATACGAATCATTGAGGAAATTAATTCATGAAATATAGGGTTTTAAAATGTGGCGGGTAAACGAGATGATGTTGCGCCACCTAATCTAGGTATCCAGACATCAACCTGAATATTTACCGGGTTCGTCATGGGTATGGATCAAATGACTGTACATATTGACAGATGTTCGGGTTTTGGTTTAAGTTGTTGCACCATCACTTTCTTGAGGGTGGGGTTAGTTGATATTAGAACTGCTAGGATTTTGATGTCATAACCCAAACATATATATATATATATATATATATATATATATATATATATATATATATATATATATATGGAAAAGTTCAATAGAGAACAATAATTATTGGTTCTTCAAGGAACCAAATCTTTTTTTCAATTTCTATAGCTTATTCTTTATCGAAAAAAAAATCTAAAAATATCTAAATTCATATATTAACATTGTGAATGTGAAAAATATTTTTCGGATTCACTGTGTGAATCCGGATTCACGTTGTGAATTTTCAAAGATTCACATTGTGAATTTGACGTAAAAAAAAAAATTTGAATTTGATATAATTGGAAAAAGGATAAAAAGTTATAAATTTATGTATTTTTAGTTTTTTTTTTTTGATAAAAAATAAGTTGTAAAAGTTGAAAAAAAAGATTGGTTCTTTGGTTCATTGGTTAATTATGGTTCTCTATTGAACTCACCTTATATATATATCTATATATATATATATATGATATATTATATATAATATATATATATATATATATATATATATTAGCCGTTTACCCGCGCTAATCGACATGTCCAAATAATTTTTTCTTAAAATTAGTTTTAGAGACAATTATTTTTTTATGCAAATAATTTACTACATCTAAACTTACTAAAATGTGGTTACCGTAATTTGTAATGCATTTAATAAAGGGTTTCTGAAGAAAAAAAAATATCTTACTCTTAATCTTCTCATTTTGTCTGCGTGATTTCATAATCCCAAATACCACATTATGTAAGTGATTAAAAAGGGTGCAAATTTTGTTAACTTAACAAAAATACCATTGCTTTTTATGCAATTAATTCACTAATAGCGTATATGTTAGTTTCGATTGAATAAACCAAATTTGTTTGTTTTTGGAATTGTTCCTTGGTGTACAACAGGAAAATAATATGAACGTAGAAACATAACATAAATATAGGACATACAAGGTGATTTTCTCAATTAAACTTATATGTTCGACAATAGCACCACTTACACATTTGCAATAAATGTTTGCATAAAATAGCAACATCCATTTCTTTTTTATCGACATATAGTTGAAATTAAAATTTATATATGAAAATCGAAGAGATTAAAATGATAATTTAGTATGTACATTTACCTCATGCATGTTAAAGCTATAGAGCCATCAACATTGAAGTTTCAATAAGTTTCACCCCAAATCCGTTAAAGTTTGCAATCCATTAATGCTTAGATAATATTGTCCTATTGTTGTATTTTTCTATTTTTCATATATACATAGCTACTTTATTGACTACAGAACTTCATTCAAAAGATAAAACTACAACTCATATCATCCTATCCATTCTGTATTAGGAAAAAAGCAAAAATCTAAAGAAAAATTTTTGTTCAGATATGATCAGACGACTGTTATTCAATAAAGAACATTGAAAATATTTATTAACTTAATAAAATCAAAAAGTACAGGGAACTAAAATTTTGAGACCTGATGGAGATGTACCATCCATAAAATTCGAGCAAATTTAAAACTTTTAAAACATTTCAAAACACATGATTATTACATACTTGTTTTCAAAATAGTATGTTGTCAGAGTATCCCAGAATCAAATCATAAAATCGTAAAATGTGAGGAGCGGTACGATCACGCCTTCGCCTTCCCGCGATCATCAGAAGTACCTGAAACAATAATTGATAAATGTAAGCTCAAAGGCTTAGTGAGTTACCCCGAAAATACCAACGACATACAGTCATAATCATATCATATAACATATAAGCAAACATCATGCATAATGAGCCATCAGTCTGACTGGACCGAATCCCGGTCCTCAGTCTATCTGGACCGCTCTCCAAGCCCTCGGCACGTCTGGACCGCCCTCCTCGGGGCCTTCAGCCTATCCGGACCTCTCGTTGGGCCTTCGGCCTGACTAGATTTGCCCGGCCCAAGCCTACAGTCTACCCGGTCCGCCCAGGGTGTCTTGGCCTACTGCACACAGCAGGACCTACCTCAACCCTTTCCCTAAACCAACAAACATGTTCACATACATATGAGCAAGTAAACATGCAGATCTAACAGATCACTAACATGACAACCATCCTATAACCAGGATATCGATCTAATCGATCTCTAGCATAACAACCATCCTAAACCAGGATGAAATCTAACATAGCAACCATCCTAAACCAGGATGAAATCTAACATAGCAACCATCCTAAACCAGGATGTAAATCATAAAGGGCCGACCATGGTGCCGTAGACCCTGTTGATATAGGGAGGAGAACTCACCTCCCAAATGTCGCACTGAAGTGATAAGCTCAACTCTCGAATCACCAACACGAACTCCTCCACCTAAAGTTACCATAAAATCCTTTTTCATAAATTTCCAAATTACCAAAATACCCCCCAGAGGTCAACTGGTCAACCCTTGGTCAAAGTCAACGTCCACAGTCAAAGTCAACAGTCCATGTTGACCTGACTCGTCGAGTGTAGTTCACCGACTCGTCGAGTCCTTCCTGAACTCGAGAAGTCGTAAAATCATAGGTTGACTCGTCGAGCTCCCCTATAACTCGCCGAGTTCATGCGTGTCCAAAGGTTTGGGAAAAGAAAAACCCTAGCCGACTCGCTGAGTCATTCGACTGACTCGTCAAGCCAAGGCAATCTTCATCGGACTCGCCGAGCTGTTCATCCAACTCGTCGAGTACATAACTATCTTCATATGACTCGCCGAGTCGACCTTGCGACTCGCCGAGTCCCTTCAATCCTTCAACCATACATATGCTTTTTAAGTCATGCAAAGGCTCCATATTGCAGATCTAAGCTCCTAGGACATACTTCTTACGTAAAGTTGCAAACTTTACGTACATGCAAGGTGCTAATGACTTAATTCAAGCTAAAGAAGTGGTTCTTAGGCAAGGGATCACACTAGCATGCTAAAGGCTGAGACTTTATGATTGTAAGGGCCAAGATGAGCCTAGATCTGAAGTTGCAACTTCAGATCTTGGTTCACCACTCAAATGAAGCACCAAAATGCCAAAATGGCCCCAAAACTCAAACATAGAAGGATCTAACTAAGAGAAGGTCAAGGTAAAGACTTGATACCTTCAAATGATGCTAAGCTGGGGTAGACTTCAGATCTACACACGTTCCTTGTCTCACACTTCCTGATCTTCAAGCTCCTTGCAACAAAATGCTCCTTCCAACTTGAAAAACCACACTAAATGGGGCACACAGACGAATTAGGGTTTCAGAGCTCAAGGGGACGGTGAGGGGAGGCCAAAAGAGGCTAATGATCCTTTAAATAGGGTGTGAAACCCCAGAAATTAGGTTTTCATCCTTCAGCACCTACTCGTCGAGTCCGTTTCCGACTCGTCGAGTCGGTCACTTAAGACCCGCGACCAAAATCGTGCCTACTCGGCGAGTCAGGGCATCCAACTCGTCGAGTCGACCTAAAAAGTTGGAAATACATGATTGAAAGTTTATACCTATGAGTCGGGGTGTTACAATTCTCCCCCACTTGAACTAGACTTCGTCCTCAAAATCTGCCGCGGCGAACAGCTCCGGATAGTGCTCCCGCATCTCTGCCTCTGGCTCCCACGTCCACTCGGACCCCCTACGATGCTCCCATTGCACCTTCACCAACGGTATCTCCTTGTTCCTCAGAATCTTCATCTTTCTCTCCAGTATGGCCACAGGCCTCTCCACGTAATTCAGGCGCTCATCGACCTGAATATCATCCAGCGACATCACCGTCTCCTGATCCAGAATGCACTTTCGCAGCTGCGAAACGTGGAAAGTGTTGTGGATCCGACTAAGCTCCTCCGGTAGCTCTAGCCTGTAATCCACCTTGCCAACCCTGGCAATGATCCTGAACGGCCCAATATTATCGGGGGCCCAATTTTCCCCTCTTCCTGAAGTGGATCGCACCCTTCCAGGGCGAGACCTTCAGGAGTACCATATCACCGACCTGAAATTCTAACTCGGATCGACGCCGGTCGGCGTAACTCTTCTGCCGACTCTGAGCGGTCTGCAGCCGCTGCCTAATCTATTGAATCTTCTCGGTAGTCTGCAAGACTACCTCCGTCCGACCCATCACCCTGTGTCCGACCTCACCAAGAAAACCGGGGGGGCGACCTCCGCCTGTACAAAAGATCGAACGGCTGAGCGCCAATGCTAGAATGGTAGCTGTTGTTGTAGGCGAACTCCGCAAGCGGTAGGTGGGAATCCCAGCTCCCACCGAAATCAATGACACACTCCCTCAACATGTCCTCGAGGGTCTGAATAGTCTGGTTGCTCTGACCGTCTGTCTGGGGGTGAAATGTTGT